TTAAATGTTAGTTGAACTGAACTGAATTCTGGTTCTGGTACTGTAATTTACTAGCCATATGGTCATAGAGAAATCATTTATATTCCTCAGTTTCCCTTTCTACCCTGTCTACCTTGCAAGATAGTTGGTGAATCAAAAGGCATGGCTTTCAAATTTGTTGGTTGTAGAGAGCCTAAGAAATTATGTTTCTCTTTGTTAAACAACATGGAATATTCATCAACATACTTTAACCACATACAAGAACAATTTTACTAGCAGAAAATATGGTTACATTATATAAATGGAGCTCTCTGCATCTCAAAAAATATGAAAACATATCTGAGTTTCTCTGTAACTATTTTCACCAAGTAAAACCGATGAGAGAAAAACCTGAACTTTAGAAAATTCTACCCATTAACTTAATGTCTTTCTAAAATGTGGAAGACTGCATTATTAAACTTAAGGAGGGGTTCAGCTTTCAGATTGCCAGTGTTCCATGGGCATATGGTGTGAAAGGCACTGAGATAATGGATGTAAAAGCACTCTGAAAATGGATAGGGATCATTATTATTATATCAAATATGAATCCCTCTAAAACTCTGACGTTGTTGTAATTTAGCAGAACAGGCAAGGCAGGATGAAACTCCGGTGGGCTGGGGACCAGGGTGCTCTAATGGCACAGGGTAAGATTCAGGTCTTTACCAGAGTCACTCTGTGCCTGAGAAAGTCTGGAAAACTCTTTTATGTTCTTTACAGCCCAGTGTTGACAATGTAAGCAACTGGATACTCCTAAAGGAGTGTCAGTTCACTTTACATATTCAGTGTAAGAATATAGGTGGCAATTAATAAATGTTTGTTGAGTTGAACTCCATAACACCTTCAGTGACCCTTGCAGGGAGAATTGCTTCTTTATCTGATATTTAGTTAAATCTCCTAGTAAAGCACTTACCATGTATATTTAGTACACTTTTGAGCACTATTTTTCCTAGTCCACTGTACACTTTTTGTAGGAGGAGATTGTGTTCTATTCATCTGAGCATCATCTGTGTTCAGCAGTGCCTGGCACATAGTAGATGCTCAATGACGGTTTTCCTTTCCAATGAGTTACAAGAGGTAGACTTGAGGGAAAACATAGATGCTAGTTTAAAACAACTATTCCTAAGCCAGTCCTATAATCTATGTCTAGCCATATAGTCACTGGACTGGCAAAACCAATCTTCTATTCTCTGGAAGCTAGGACTGTCACCATAAAGTGATTCTATGCTGCTGATTTTTTCCACAAATGATGCCACCGTCTCCTCACAGAGCTAATCTATCTATGGGAGCTACAACAAAATAAATAGGTGTCAGAAATAGCAGAGAGTATGTCGACAGTAAAAATAGCATTAAATTTCCAAGAGAAAAGGAATCTTGATTCCTAGGGGCCATTCTACAAAGAGGAAGTAAATTGCCTAATTTACAAAAGATACACCTTATTCTCTTGCCCCAGGGCCTAGAAGATGGAACATATAACAACTACAAACTGACAGCAATTTATGTGGCCTCCATTGCATCCTCCCACATCTTCCTCTTGGCAATTGATTCTTGGGCTGCTGTTACCCCCAAGACTAGAGGCAGGACAACAGCTGAGGGAAAGTAAGTAAGTGGTCTTAGGAGAAATGACCTAGCACTATACAAATATGAAGGACTATATTATTTTTTATTTCTACCAAATAAAAACAACTCCCAACAATTTGAAGCCTTTTAAATTCAAAAGAATGATGCAGGGCCCATGAGAGAATAATGAGATCTACACATTGAGACACAGTGCTAGGTCTGGAGATATGCTCTGAAATGTGATCCCTCACTGCCATGAGTCAAGATGGGACTTACAGATGAGAGAAAAAAAAAGAAAGGTATCCTCCCATAAAGGGGAAGGAGCATGCACAAAGGTACAGAGACCTGAGATACCATGGGTATATGAGAAATGAGCATGAAGCTTAGGGTGCAAAAAGGAAATCACTGAGAAAGAGGTTGGGTCTGTGCTTTGAGAGACCTGGAATCCCATGGTTTGCTGTCATCCCCTTGTTACCACCCAAAAAGAAGCTTGGTTTTCATCTCTTCTTTTATTCACTCCTCAGAGAAGCAACAAAGACAAGGACATAGGATGGAGCGATGGGAACAAATCAGGCCATTTAAGAGAGAAAGAGGTAAAACCAGTATTGACAAGTAAAGCTGAAATGAGATAGATGTGCCTTTTCCTTCCCAAGGTTCAGGAGTTATAAGACTAAGTATAGAACCTTTGGAAGGAGGAGTGAAGAGACTACACCAGCAGAGATGAGACAAAGGCTGGGCACTTTGTGCATGAGAATTAATTCTCATCTCAGGGATGTGGGGCTCAAGAGAATAGAGGGCCCAGACTGAGACCCAGAGAGGAAAAAAAATGGGAATCTGACTACTTATTGATTTTTCTAGGTTCTAGGCTTAGGGAGATAAAGGAGGCCACAAGACACCGTCTAACTTTTCCAGTCCTATTCCCCAGGGGGGTAAGACAGAGCCTCTGCACGCTGGCAGATGAAAGCTTTCATTGTGTTGTCCCATGCAGGCAGCAAGGAGCCTGCAACAGCTTCTGCCACCAGTACTACTGTGCTAGTCACCCTGGGACAATGAATGACACCAGAGAAAAGCCTACACCCGTAACTAAAGGGAGCATCGCTCCCTTCAAGCAACCAAGGTCAACTGGAGCCAGCTATTTCCAGATAGTGGGTTGTGTTTGCCAGCTCTGATTTATGAAACCTCAGGGCAGCTTCAATAATCACATTTCAGTTCAGCTCAATCAATATTTACTGTCCTCTATTTGATGCCGGGCCCTGTGCTGGACATTGAGGATACAGAAAAAAATGAGATATGGCCTCTACCCTTAGAGAGCTCATTATCTAGAAGGGGGGAATGTCATCAAAACAGATGGTTAGAAGAGTAAGTCTTAGGACATAGGAAGCACAAGGAACTCAGCTCATGGTAGGTCAAGTAACCCAGTGCAGGGAATCCAGGAAGATTTCTCAGAAGGGGAGATTCATTTTTCTCTCCTGACTTTGTTTCCTCATTGGGATTTAACGGTTGAAGATGTTATTAGCCAAGGGAAAAAGGAGAGAAAGTCTTCCAAGTAGATAGAACAGCATGTAAGAGGCCTTGAAACAGTATGATGATCTGGATGAAAAGCAAGAGACCCAGTGTAGTTAAAGCATGGTATCCATAAGATAGAAGAGGCTAAAGAGAAAGATTCAGACAGATGGTGTTAAATATGGAATCAAACTTCCTTTTATAGCAAGATAAGGTGTAGGTCGGAGTGTGGCATAGGCAGAAAATTATCTTAAGAGAGAGGATCCCAAAACATTAGAAAAAACACATATACACAAAACCAATTTCATTTTCTGCCAATTTATGTGGGACTTTTTGAAGAGGGATGTCCTAAAATAAAACAACTCCA